AGGATTGCAAAGACAGCAGATATGGCACAAAACAGGCTCTTAGTCCAAAAGTTAATTACCTGCAAGAAGTTACCAGCTAATCTCTATCTAAAGTATTTTCTAGGCACATTTGTGGCTATCATATTTGTGGAGCTCTTTTCACCCCAAGAAGGGGCCTATGCTTAATAGTTTCTTTTGTTAGCGTACTGTGCTTAGGATGTTTAGAACAATCATGAGCATTTTGTGCAATGAGAGCACATATTTATCAAACAAGCCAGAATGCCAGCAAAATGTTTGAATGGAAGCATTTCCTTCATCCCTGGCCCCTTCATAGGGTACCAGCGTCTAGGAGATTTATTAATTAGCTTTTAAGTTGGTCCTCATTCAGTGAAAGAGGAGCAGGAGAGCTCTCGGCAGGCAACACAAGAATCCGCAGCAGGGCAAACAAGAACAACAGCAGAAAAAGGGGGGAGGACACAGGGTGGGGTAGAGGCCGAGGCCAACCTGGAGGGTCCCTTATCCTAGACGGCCTTGCCTGTCAGGTTCTTTCCTCGTGACCTCGTCATGGATGGGGTCCCGGACGGCCTTGCCTGCCCGGTATTTTCTTCATGACCTCGTCATGGGCGGGACCCCCCCATAACAGCTCCCGGCAGTCCAGGATCAGCGCCCAGGGTGGGGTCAGGACAGAGGTCCCCGGCAGGCCTGGGTGCTGTGATGCACCCGTGATGCCTGCAGGCCTGCCGGTTTGGCTGTGCAGCGGCGGGTTCGGTGGTCTTCGAGCAGTGACCCTTGCACCAACTGTACAGACTTAGAAGGCTTTCCGGGGTGGGGGGCTGCCCACAGCCCCCACCTCACCTCCCAGCCCCCTTCAAAGCAAGGCAGACCCCATAGACCCAGGGAGGAGAGGAAGCTTTAACTAAAGCACTCAGACCGCCAGCCCCCCTCAGCTTATTCAGAGATGCATTTCTCATACAATTTTACTTCTTAATCATTTATCAGAATCTGTAATATATTTGTACTATTTGAACCAGTTATAGAGCAATGATAATTGCAATGATAACTCAACCTGGAAGACATTTTTATAACCTCAGCACTGAAGGTCACAGTAAAAACTGTAAATTTCCATTTACATACATTTTCTTGTCCTGTAGAGATGTGATAGGGTGATCAATGGAAGGTCTTCAATCAAAAACAAAGCATCCTTTTGGGGGTAATATATAACCTTATTCTGTGTGGTTGGTAGAATTTCAAAGGGAAGAGGAATAATGTCAAGATTTTACTAAAGAAGAGGCTGTTGACATATTTTTGAAACAAATGACAGTGGGTTTCAAATCATTGTTCTTGTTTGGATAACTTTTGTTGCTATGTTTGAAGTTTATGAACCTTTCCTTTGGGATGGGTAATTCTGTTGTTAATACCACACACTGTATTTTCTTGTCTCAGACATGGTATTTTAATCTCTATATTATTGATGTGGGTCTTTGGAATTTATTTTATGCCTCTTCTTGACAGGCTGCTGTTTCCCCTACGTTGCGGAAATTGTGGTTTTTTGAGTTCTGGCGGCTCTGACGTCCTGGTCTGCTAATTCTCACGTGTGCCTTGCGCCTGCTTTTCTCTTTATTGGGGTTCTTCTCCTCTCATTAGGAATCCCATTTCCCCACTTCTTTGCGGGTCTGGAAATGTTTGATTGAATGCCAGACATTGTGCTTTTATATTGTTGGGCTGAATTCTTTGTATTCCTTTAAATGTATTTGAGCATCGTTCTGGGCACGGTTGAGTCACTCTGGAAGAGTTTGTTTGCTTTTGAGGCATCCCTTTGAGCTTCCCGAGTCAGAAACACGGAGTGACTTTCAGGCTTGGCCAGTTTGGCTCAGTCCAGAAGTCACCCTTCTGGGGTCTCTCCTGCTGCCTCCGGTCACAAGCCCCCAAGGGACCCCACCAGGCCACGTGGTGCTGCCTGCCATGGGTGGGGGGCAGGCCTGGAGCCGGCCCTCCTCAGGGGACACGCCCCCTCCAGGCCAGGTTTCCTCATCTGAACAGCCGGGGCTTTGGCTGGTGATCCCGAGAGTCTTTCTTGGAAATCTGGTTGTTAGATGTCTCCATTTTTAAATGCTGACTGGCCGGGTGACAGGTTTGGCAGAAGCAGAGCTGTGCATAAAGCCAGGTCTGTTCTCTGCAAAACTCCCGCACTGACCCGAGGAGGCTCAGTGGCTCACCTTGCAAAGGCATACTGCTGCAACCCCTGTATCTCCGGAGGGGCGTCCTCCCAGGACCGAGTCGGGGTGGCCCACACAGCACGCGTCTCCCGGAGCCGCTCACTCAAGGGCGGGGCTGCGGACCCTTTGCTCAAACAGGTGGGTGGTGTCTGCCATCATTTATTTATTCCTTTAAATTTGGCGTCTCGGTACATGGTTTGCAGGATCTTAGTCCTCCAACCAGGGATTGAACCTGGGCCCTTGGCAGTGAAACCATGGAGTCCTAACCCCTGGACCTGCAGGGGATTCCTTACCATCATTTAGTATAGTGTCTCTCTTTGATCATGAGACTTGAGCTAGTGAATTTTAAACCATGCTTATGATTTGAATTCTAACTGAAATAGTAGTAAATACAAGTCTAAGATTTTTTTTCTGTGATCAAAAATTTGTGGCCTTCTGCCTCCAGAAGATAGAGCAGACATACTTATCCCTATTCCTCCCACTAGTACAATAAAATCTCTGGACTCTGGTCTAAAACAAACAGAAACAGACTGAAAGGTGGGGTGAAGAATGTAGGGCAACTAGGGACCTTAAGACCCAGGAAGACACAGTGGTGAGCTCCCTGGGTTTTCTCCCAGGGTTGGAGTTGAAGAGGCCAGCAAGTCAGATGGACGCATGGGCACAGACAGAAGCGGCCCCAAGGAAAGCCCGCCCTCTCTGGCCGGAGGGCCAGCAGCAGACAGCTTGCTGGGGACGCACAGATGGCAGACAAATGCGTGACAATCGTTACCAGTGGTGATGAGGGAAATGCAGATTAAAGCCACAGCGAGACATAAATCGTACCAAAGTTTTCCTAGGTCAATCTCCCAAGGCAGTGGAAATAAAAACAAAAATAAACTAGTGCGAACTAATCAAACTTACAAGCTTTTGCATAGCAAAAGAAACCATAAACAGAGGAAATATTTGCAAACAACACAACCAACAAGAGCTTAATTTCCAAAATATCAAACAGCACATACAACTCTACAAAACAGCAAAAAATAAACAACCCAACCAAACTATGGGCAGAAGACTTAAATGGACATTTCTTCTAAGACATACAGATGGCCAATAGGCACATGAAAAGATGCTCAATATCACTAATTATTAGGGAAAAGCACATCAAAACTACAGTCAGGTATCACCTCACACTGATCAGAATGGCCGTCATCAAAGTCTACAAACAATAAATGCTAAAGAGAGTGTGGAAAAAAGGCAACTCTCCTACACTGTCGGGGGGATGTAAATTAGCACAGCCACAGTGGAAAACAGGATGCAGATTCATCAGAAAGCTAAAAATAGAATTACCATATGATCCAACAATCCCACTCCTGGATGTACATGTGGACAAAACTATAATCCAAAAGACACATGCACCCCAGTGTTCATAGCAGGACTATTCACAATAGTCAACACGTGGGATCTACCTAAGTGCCCATCAGCAGATGAACAGATAAAGAAGATGTGGTACATATATACAATGGAATATTACTCAACCGTAAAACAGGAGGAAATCATGCCATTTGCAGCAAACAGATGGACTGAGAGATTATCATAGTAAATGAAGCAAGTTAGAAAAAGACAAAAAGCAACGTGATATCTCTTATATGATATCTCTTTATCTCAATATAAAATATGGGGTAAATGAACTTATCTAAGAAGCAGAAACAGACTCACAAACAGCGAGAAAAAGCTGGTCGTTGCCAAGGGGGCGGAGAGGAGGGACAGGCTGGGAGTCCGGGATTTGCAAACGCAAACTCTTCCATGTAGAATGGATAAATAACGAGGTCCTAGTGTAGAGCACAGTGAACTGCATTCAATATCCTGTGATAAACCATAATGGAAAAGAAGATGAAAAAGAATGTATATATGTATATAACTGAGTCACTTTGCTTACAGCAGAAATTAACACAACACTGTAAATCAACTATACTTCAGTTTAAAAAGTAGGTTAAAAGAAACAAAACCACAATGAGATACCACTTATCAGAATGACTAAAATAAAAAGAAGCAGCAACACTAAATGTGGCAAGGATGCTGGGAAACCGGATGCCTCACACGCTGGTGGTGGACGGTCACATGGCGCAGCCTCTCTGGAAAGCGGTTTGCCCTTACACGTTCAACTGGGTCTGACCGGAAATTGCACTTCTAGGCATCTGTGTCAGAGAAATGAAGACTTAGGTTCACACAACAACCTGGGCATGAACATTTATAGCAGCATGATCTGTAATAACCAACCAGCTGTCCCTCAGTGGCTGAGGGGATAATGTGTCCACACTGTGAGTATTACAGCCGCAGCAGTCAACACGGATGAATGTGAACTCTGCGCACACAACTTGGATGGAGCTCCAGAATTACACTGAGTGAAGAATGCTGACTCCAAAAGGGCCTGTGCTATATGATCTCATTTCTATAACATTCTTGAAATGACAAGGTTACAGAAATGGACGGCAGATTTGTGGTTGCCAGGGGCTGAGGCAGGGATAAAGGTGGGGGCGGAGATGGAGATACGATGGTCTCTTTGCTGACGTTCCAGAAGCCAGCGCCTTAGTCACGATTCCTAGTGTCTCAAGATGCTTCCCCTGTGGGAACTGCACGGGAGTACACGGGCTGTCCGTATCAGCTCACAAGGCTGCATCTGAATCGACACTCATCTCGAAGTTTATTTAGGAATAAGTCACAGCACCTCTAGGAAAGCTCAGCCTTTAACTCACTCACAGGTGAGTCAGAGCTGCAGCCTGAATCACACACGTCTCCTTTCAACACAAAGGGACGGTGGGGTAGATTCACTTCTGTAGACTAGGAGTGATGAGTCACAGCCAACTTGATGGATCAAAATACGAGTGTGTTGAAGTCAGGGCAGAGGTCTTGCTGATGAGAACCTCAGGCATCGTAAGAAGGACGGCGTCTTCTCCATCAGAGGACTTTTGCTGTCTGGTGTGGCGGTCACCGTGGGGGGATGTCCCACACTGGAGAAGCCCCGCTTTCGGGCTCAGGTGGACTGACAGTCTCACTGGGCCGGTGGTCGCCCGTCCGGAGCCCCGTCTGGCCCTTTCTCTCCTGTGACCTCCGGCCCCACCAGGGGCATTTGGGGTGAGGGGGGCTCCTCCCCAGAGCTCCTCCCCCAGAGCTGGATCCCCTCCTTGCTGATGACCAGGAGCAGTGTCTCCACCCGCTGGGTGGACCCCTGGGCCTTCTTCCTCCCTGCTTATAGGCTTTATTGGGTGAGACTCATGCTTTGGGGACTTGAGAACAACCTTCTAGAAACCTCTGTGAGGTCATGTGCCTGGCAGGCGGACAGGGAAAGGGGACCACCCGGCTGTGTGCAGCCCTGCCCTCCCGGCCAGGTGGGCCGCGCCCAGCTCCTCCCGCTCTCCACGGCCGCTCTCGCCAGAACCCAGGGAGTGAACTGGAAAGTTCCCTTTCCTTCCTTCCTGTCAAAGGCCACCACCCAATTTTCTTCAAACTCTACTTCTGATGGGGTGTGCACAATATCAGCACACATGTGACTTCTTTGAGAACGACATGGTTAGAAATAGAGGTCACAGCCCAAACCCTCAAGAATTCTAATCTCTCTCCAGAGACTCATGAAAACACTGCATGTTATTCTAAGGGTCGAGTCAGCCGAGCGCAGCCAAACGAGCCCGTTCCGCACATGTTTCATTGGATTTGCAGCTAGAGTCTTGCCGATACCAGTGAGGGCCTTGCCGCAGGAGTGCGCCAGCCCTGACGGCTTCCGCGTCTTGTCCAGTAGGACGTGTGTCCCTCAGCGCAGATGCTCCGTGCTGTGAGTTTGCTGAAAGACCATGCTCCAGAACTAGCATGTCTGAAGTCGGGGTGGGAGGGGTGTGGAGGGAGGCACCTTGGAACCACCGCCACCGAGGTCTGAGCTCCCCGCAGCCTACAGCCCGCATGACTGGCCACCTCTGTCATGGCTGGACCTTACCCCTCCTCCGGGTGTTTGTCGGATGGCCTGTACTTAGGGGGTCCCTGTGGGATATGACAGGGAGCATCCCCCCCCGCCCCCGTCACGGCCTTGGATTTGCACAGAACTGACCAGACCAGAAGCATCAAACGCAGCCTTTGCTGGCTGTGGGTCAGCCTCTTAACCCAGAGAGCATCCATGCCAACGTGACCGGCTCTGCAAGGTCGAAGCCTCTTTGTGACCCTGCTCACTCACCCCTTGCTGGGGCATCACCCTGGTGACGCCTGTGTGTTGGTGGTTTCCTTCTACCTGCTCGCTGGGGGCGGCGCACCAGCCCACGGGCTCCACGTGGAGAAAGCTGGACGGAGGCCGGCAGGACAGAGGTGGGACGAGGTGTACAGACCGGCCTCCAAGGTGACCAAACCGTGGCGCCAACATGCCCTGGGCCGTGAGCTGTGTCTCGTTTTAAACCCTCTGAACACAAAACAACTCACTCAGAGAGACCCAAGGGGCGCTCTTCTGCTTGATTTATTACCTCCTCGGAGACCCTGAGACTTCCCTGGCGGCTCAGATGGTAAAGCGTCTGCCTACAATGCAGGAGACCCGGGATCAATCCCTGGGTCGGGAAGATCTCCTGGAGAAGGAAATGGCAACCCACTCCAGTATTCTTGCCTGGAAAATCCCATGGATGGAAGAGCCTGGTAGGCTACAGTCCATGGGGACGAAAAGAGTCGGATACCACCCAGCAACTTCACTTTCACAGAGACCCTGAGATGGGGGTGGGCAGACTGCACTATCGACCTGATCATTTAAGGACTTCCAACCAAAGCGGGGTGCACATGGTTGGCTGGGGCCTCATGTGGGTGCTGGTCTGGAGCGGGGAGAGTGAGAGGGAGCGGGGAGAGTGAGAGGACCTGGCAAGATGCCCGCTCTCCTCCTGCACCCTGGGCTTCCTGGACACGCCAGCTGCGGAGGATCTGATCCAACCTCATGATCCAGGCGCCAGCACCACGAGGCAGGCTCTGACCACGCGCGAACTGCGCGCCGAGTTGCTCACGTGCGTCCTCAGCGCGGGGCTGCCTCCGGGTCACGCCCCATGGCCCACGGTCAGAGTCACCCCGCCCCCTCCCACCAGCACCTCAACCCCCTGGCCTTGAGCCTCATGAACAGGCAGCCCAAGGCTTGACTCTGACTCTGGGTCTGTTCTGCATTGAGGTTCAGACGGTGTGGGCGGTGGCTCCACGCAGAGGGACGGTTCCATGCACCAGGCGAGGCCCGCTCCGACCCAGCCCTGCTCCCAGGGGGCCGCGGGAGACCGAGGGCCTGCCCTGCGCTGGGCCCTTAGTGAGGCCAGCCGGAGGGGGTCAAGCTAGGAAGGCGAGTGCAGGGCTGCACAGGAGAAGGGGTGGGTGCTGGGAGAGCGGGTCCGAGGGTGGGCAGGTGGGGGGGGGAGAGGTAGGCAGGTGGTGGGTGGGGGGGCGGGGCGCCCCTGAACCGCAGGTCTCAAGCTGCTGCTGCGCCCCTCCTCCACCCCGACCACTCACCACCGGGCTCTGTGCCCTGCCGTCCCTGCAGGATCCGTGGGGGACCGTCTGGGATGGGCAGCTTGGGCTTCAGAGGCAGGCCGGAGGGTCTCGACCACAGGAGACCCTCAGGGAGAGCGGAGGGGCCGACCCCGCTGGCTCCAGCCCCCGCACTGACTCGGGCCACCCCGGGAGCGGTCCCGAGGGCCCCGTCCAGCAGGCGCCCCTGGAGTCCTGCTCAAGCCTGAGCCCCACTGGCCAAGCTCGGGGCTCTGCAGAGAGTGCGCCGCAGCCCCGGGCACCATCCATGTTGCCGCGTGGGGTCCAGAGCCCCTGGTATACCCGAGGGGGAGGCTCTGCGGTGCCCGGTGAGACCTCGCGCTCCCAAAGCCTCTGTCTGCCCTCCACCCGCCCCGTCCATCTCCCGGGTGACAGGAAGGACGTAGGAGGGTGACGGCGTCTGGGAGACGAGGCGACGGCGGCAGCTGGCACTTTACCGGGTGTGGGTGTATATGCGCCAGGCCGCGGGTGCAGAGGAGCACGTGACATGGGCCAGGGGCCCCGGGACACTAGCAGCCTCCGTGTCACTGGCGTGGGCGCTGTCTCCTTGGATGTGGGCGGAGCCGGGGGCGGCGCTCCAGCCAAAGGCTCAACACGCATGCGCTCAATGCAAGCGCGGCGTGGGGAAGGGAAGACCACCCCCCCCCAAGCTGCTCCCCGGGAATCATCCCGTCAAGCGCCCCTTAGGGCACGCCCCGGGGGTCAGGCAGGGCCCTGGAGTCCCTGCCCCGGGTGTGGGCGGGTGGGACACCCCGCACGCTCCCAGCGGGCTCTGGGGAGAGTTCATCTGTCCACACTCGTTTCCATAAATAGTGACATCAGCACACTTACTGTTTGTGCCCAAATGCATGCTGGAGAAAGGCAGGATCTCGCCTTTAGGGAGCTGCCAGGCAGGGGCTCGAGGCCTGTTACTGCATCGAACGAAAGCTCTTGGTGCCGGGAGGCCAGGGCCTGGGTAGAGGCTGCTCAGCGCCCCGGGGTCCAGGCGGCAGGCAGGGGCCCAGGCAGCCTGAGCCATGCTGTCCGTGTGAGCCTGCGGGAGGAAATGCGGGGGAATGTGTTTGGAAGAGCCAGCGGCTGGGTGGGCGGGGCCGGCTGTGTGTGAGTGGGCTGCTGCCGCCCAGTGTGGGCACCGCCCGGGCTCCCCCAGCTCACCCTGCCCTTCCTCTCCTCTCAGACGGCTGGTGAGGCTGCCTCTCTGTCCAGGAAAGGCCTGCGGAGTTTCATTTTAAAATAAGTAAAACATAACACTCCAGTTTTCAGAAAACATTGAGGAAGTGCTCTCTGGGGCGGACGGCAGCCGGCGAGTATCACAGGGGCTCGGAATTCCCTGTGATCTGAGGCGGACACACGGCCACGGGAGTTTCTGGGGCCGGGGAGGTGGTCTGGTTGCCGTTGCTTGAAGGCAGTTGCAGAGAACATACCAGAGATGGTCACAGGGGTCCTAGGGGTGTGGCCAGGCGGCTGCGTCTTGGTCCAGGAGACGCTGGACCTGGGGACGCTGCAGGGCAAGCGTGGGGCCAGGTCCCTGCTCACAGAAGGCCGAGCCCCCCACCCGGAGCTCCAGGCCAGTAGGAACCCATGGTCCTGCAGGGCTCCCAGACCTGGCCTGGAAGAGCCTCAGCAGTGCACCGGGTGGGTGTCTAAGCACAGCCTGGAGGCCCTGGGGACGCCTGGGGACTCTTCTGTGTGTCTGTGCAGGCGAGGAGACTGGCGTGGGGGACCCAGGCAGCGAGGGGGGCAGGACCTGGAACCCCTTCGCCTTTTAATCCAGGCAAAGCTAGTGGACTCTCCCAGTCTCACACCGGATGCTAGGCGCTGGGACACGAGGGGAGCGGGGGCAGCCCCAGGCCTGGGCCAGTGGGTTCAGGCATCCAGGCTGGGTGATGGGTGAACAAGCCAGGGTGGGGCCTGGTGCCCGAGGGGTCCATAGTGCCCGCGCGCCCGCTGAGTCGGCTCGGTCTCCTGGGCTGAGCGTGCGACCCCTTCCGAGCTGGTTCATGGGCCCCAGGGGTCCCGGCCGCCACTCCGTTAGTGTCAGAGAAGCTCGTGTTTCAAACCCGCTCCTGCCATCCGTCTACCACACACCCTGTGAGAAGTTGGGCCCTAACTTTGGTCCCAGAGTCTTACTACAAAGGGGCCAAGAATAAACATGTACTGATCGCCGGTTACCCAAGAGGCGGGGGAAATGTGCTTCCACAGAGAGGAGGCCCATCGCGGGTCGGGCGGAGGGCAGGCGGCCCCTGCGATGGACCATCGGGGTGCGGGCGGAGGCACGCGGCCCCCGCGGTCTGTGACGCGCTGCACAGTCCGGCCGCAGACGCGGGCCCGCAGATGCATCCCCGCCCACCCTGCCCCTGGGCCCCAGGCCCCGTGTAGTCTGCTCACAGTGCGCTTTCCCTCAGCTGAGTGAGAAGATGTAGAGCGGCCGCAGGCGAGCGACCGGCCCGGACGCGCGGCTGCCCCTCGGGCCGCCCTCACCATGTCCAAAAAGGGCGCAGGCGGCCGGAGCAAGGGGGACAAGGCGGAGGTCCTCGCCGCGCTGCAGGCCGCCAACGAGGACCTGCGGGCCAAGCTCACCGAGATCCAGATTGAGCTGCAGCAGGAGAAGAGCAAGGTGGGCGCGCCGCCCCGCCCCGCCCCCGCCCCCGCCCCCGCCCCGCTCCCACCCCGACCTCGCCCCGCCCCCGCCCCACCCCCACCCCGCCTGCGTTGGTTTCTCCTTTTGCTGAGAGTGTCCTAGAAGGTAAGTGAGACTTCCGTCGTTTGGGCTGAAGCGGTCCGGAGGGCAGGAGCCCCCACCCCCTGCCCCCCAAGGCCGTGCCCCCTCCTTGGCGGATTCGTTTGAGAGGTGCTGGTTTCAGCCTTTGAGCACGCAGGTTTCCGGACACCCGTGCGTCTGCCCTCTGGCTTCCAGGATTGGCGCCTGGGGTGCCACCCACGAGGCTTGATTCTGTTTTCAACCCGTGTTTTAACGAGACCTTCCCTAATAGACGGTAGCTCCCCTCTCTGCAAGAACACGCAGCCTTTCCGAACGCCGCGCTCGGGTGTCCGCCGACGCAGAGTGTGGCTCCAGGCCGACCGTGTCTCGTTGTGCCGCAGGTCGGCCGGGTGGAAAGGGAGAAGAACCAGGAGCTCAGGCAGGCGCGGGAGCACGAGCAGCACAAGAGCGCCGTCCTGCTCACCGAGCTGAGGACCAAGCTCCACGAGGAGAAGATGAAGGAGCTCCAGGCGCTGCGGGAGGCGCTGCTGCGCCAGCACGAGGCCGAGCTGCTGCGCGTCATCCGGACCAAGGACAGCGAGAACCAGCGGCTGCAGGCGCTGCTACACGCCGTGCGCGACGGCGGCCCGGACCGGGCGCGCACCGTGCTGCTGTCCGAGGCCAAGGAGGAGGCCAAGAAGGGCTTCGAGGTGGAGAAGGTGAAGATGCAGCAGGAGATCTCGGAGCTGAAGGGCGCCAAGAGGCAGGTGGAGGAGGCGCTGACCCTGGTCATCCGCGCCGACAAGATCAAGGCCGCGGAGATCAGGAGCGTGTACCACCTGCACCAGGAGGAGATCTCCCGCATCAAGAAGGAGTGCGAGCGCGAGATCCGCCGGCTGGTACGTGCGCGCGGCGGGGGCGGGGCGGGGCGGGGGCGGGGCCGGGGCTGGAGCGGGGAGGGGCCGGGGGAGGGCCTCATGGAGCCGAGCGCGAGATCCGCCGGCTGGTACGTGCGCGCGGCGGGGGCGGGGCGGGGCCGGGGCGGGGGCGGGGCGGGGCGGGGCGGGGGCGGGGCCGGGGCTGGAGTGGGGAGGGGCCGGGGGAGGGCCTCATGGAGCCGAGCGCGAGATCCGCCGGCTGGTACGTGCGCGCGGCGGGGGCGGGGCGGGCCGGGGCGGGGCGGGGGCGGGGCCGGGGCTGGAGCGGGGAGGGGCCGGGGGAGGGCCTCATGGAGCCGAGCGCGAGATCCGCCGGCTGGTACGTGCGCGCGGCGGGGGCGGGGCGGGCCGGGGCCGGGGCGGGGCGGGGGCGGGGCCGGGGCTGGAGGGGGGAGGGGCCGGGGCTGGAGTGGGGAGGGGCCGGGGGAGGGCCTTATGGAGCCGAGCGCGAGATCCGCCGGCTGGTACGTGCGCGCGGCGGGGGCGGGGGCGGGGGCGGGGCGGGGCGGGGCGGGGGCGGGGCCGGGGCTGGAGCGGGGAGGGGCCGGGGGAGGGCCTCATGGAGCCGAGCGCGAGATCCGCCGGCTGGTACGTGCGCGCGGCGGGGGCGGGGGCGGGGCCGGGGCGGGGCCGGGGCTGGAGCGGGGAGGGGCCGGGGGGAGGGCCTCATGGAGCCGAGCGCGAGATCCGCCGGCTGGTACGTGCGCGCGGCGGGGGCGGGGGCGGGGCCGGGGCGGGGCCGGGGCTGGAGCGGGGAGGGGCCGGGGGAGGGCCTCAGGGAGCCGAGCGCGAGATCCGCCGGCTGGTACGTGCGCGCGGCGGGGGCGGGGCGGGGCGGGGCCGGGGCTGGAGTGGGGAGGGGCCGGGGGAGGGCCTCATAGAGCCGAGCGCGAGATCCGCCGGCTGGTACGTGCGCGCGGCGGGGGCGGGGCGGGGCCGGGGCGGGGCGGGGGCGGGGCCGGGGCCGGGGCTGGAGTGGGGAGGGGCCGGGGGAGGGCCTCATGGAGCCGAGCGCGAGATCCGCCGGCTGGTACGTGCGCGCGGCGGGGGCGGGGCGGGGGCGGGGCCGGGGCTGGAGTGGGGAGTGGCCGGGGGAGGGCCTCATGGAGCCGAGCGCGAAATCCGCCGGCTGGTACGTGCGCGCGGCGGGGGCGGGGCGGGGCCGGGGCGGGGCGGGGGCGGGGCCGGGGCTGGAGTGGGGAGGGGCCGGGGCTGGAGTGGGGAGGGGCCGGGGGAGGGCCTTATGGAGCCGAGCGCGAGATCCGCCGGCTGGTACGTGCGCGCGGCGGGGGCGGGGCGGGGCCGGGGCGGGGCCGGGGCGGGGCGGGGCCGGGGCTGGAGTGGGGAGGGGCCGGGGGAGGGCCTCATGGAGCCGAGCGCGAGATCCGCCGGCTGGTACGTGCGCGCGGCGGGGGGTGGGGCGGGGCCGGGGCTGGAGCGGGGCGGGGCCGGGGGAGGGCCGCATGGAGCCGGGCGTGGCCGGGCAGCGCTTGGGCTGTGCTCACGGGTGGGTTCCCCCCTCCCCCCCCCACCACCAACCCTACCCCGGCACAGGGCGCCTCGCACCTCTGCTCTTGGTTTGCGGACTCCAGAGAGGCCAGGCTGCTGAAAACAGCACGATGCGGTTCAGAACTCACCAGTCAGTGGCCCAGGGCCCAGGAGGCCGCAGTCCTCCCCGCTCCAGGCCACCTAGCTTTCCTTCCCAGCTTGGTCAGAACGAGACGCCCACGAGGGGGCCTTCCCCTTCCCCCCCAAAAGGGTTATGAAAGGCCCCCCGTCTTGCAACCCCAGGTTAAGCTCAAGGCGTGCAGGGGCCCGTTGGATGACATGAGCTCCGGCTCCATAACCAGGAGGGTCTGCAGTCTGTGAGCTCGCTGGACCCAGAGAGGGGAGACCAGAGGCCTGCAGGCAAGGGTCTCGGCCGGGCCATGCCAGCGTTCCCGAACTGTGCAGTCTGGAAAGGCGTGGCTCTTCACAGTTCAGGAACTCTGTGCATCCCCTGGCTCACCAGAGCAGCTGCCCGATGCTCCCATACCCCTGTGAGGAGAGGCTTTGGAGAAGCTCAGAGGTTGTGGGGGGTTCCACTCGATTCTCCTCATTCCTTGGAGCCTGGACCTCCTCGGTCACTGGGGGGAAATGAGCCCGTCACCCTTGCTAGGTGCTTCATCAGGACTCAGCTGGCTTTGCAGCTGGCCACGCTGGGGACCCCTGGATGCCCCTTGGAGGATGCAGCCAGCTTTCTTCCAGCACGGCCATGCACCCAGGCCACCTCTCCCAGCCTCCTGGGCTTCTGGGTTCCAATCACTACCATGTTGATTTCCTGGAAGCGTTGCAGTTGCTCTGGACACAGGGCCCAGATAGGAGCTGGGGGCCGTGAACAAGCACAGTTCTGTCACGCTATGTGTGCGGGGCCCAGACACCCCCACCCTGGGTGGCCCCCTCCCCTTTTCTGGAATGTCCCCTGTTCCACCCTCCCCCTTTGAACTCTGCATCCATCCCTGGGTCGTGTGTTGGCACCAGGTCAGCACCCACTGCCCAAATCCACACCCTCTCCATCACCTCGATTGGCCTCAGTGTTCATCATGGAGGCTCATGGCCCGATTTCCTTAACCACAGGGTCACAACAGAACCAACCGAAGTCCTCAACCTTGACCTGGGCTCCCCAGAGGGACCCACTTGCAGTTCTCCTAGCTGATTCTTCCGAGTTTTCTTCCGAGTCCTCAGAAATGTGCCTGCACCTCTCCTTCTTGATTTCTCAGGTTTAGCTCTTCCTTTGCTTCCCCGTTAGCTCCCTGCCCCCCAAGTCCCATTGGCCAGGTCTCAGCAGGACACACAGCACGCCGCAGACAGGGCGGGCAGCCTTGCAGAGCCCCAGTGGCCCTGGTGGGGCCTGGCTGTGGCCCCAGGGAAGGGATCAGGGCAGGCGCCGCCCCTGTGGGCGAGGGCCTCGGACGAGAGGGTGGCTCTGGGGGCACTCAGACCAGTCAAGGAGCCGAGGGAGCAGGTGCCCAGACGCCCACTCCCCGGGCCCTGCTCCTGCTCTGGTTCCCAGGGCCCGGGAGGTGGGGCACCGGCCAGGGAGGAGGCTGTTGGGACACCCTTGCTGGTCCGTCTGGGCTGAAATGAGCGTTTACTATTCATGTCACAGGTGCTCTGTGAACGTTCACAAAAGACCCACCGTGGCCCACAATGAATCACCTCTCTTGTACACACTTTTATTTTCCTTCAAATTACTTTTTTTTCATTTGCTCAATTTTCAAGTGAATGGGTGCTAAGTTGCTTCAGTCGAGTCCAACTCTTTGCGACACCCCTGAATTTCCGGAGGAAGGAGTCCCCTGTCAATACAGTAAAAGTATTAAGAATTCTGCCCATTTCTGTGCTCTGAGACATCCTTCCTGGACGGACTGCTTTCCTAAAGCGGCCCGAATCCTGAATTCTCTTTGTCACCACCCCAGCAAACCCTCCTTCTCTCCTGTGTTCGCCCCTCCCTCACCTTCCTCCTTCTGGATGAATGCTTCTCATCTGGGGGAAAGTACATTCTCTAATCACCTCCTGGAGACAGAAGGAGGGAAGTGTGTTTGTGTGCGTGGAGTTTTTATTCTAACCTCACTCGCAGTGGATGTTGTAACTCGATGTGGTATTGGAGGTTGGAAAACCTTTATTAGAATTTGAAGGGATTTCGGCCTCGTCTTCTGACTCTGCGTGTTGCTCTAAGAAACTATACGATATTCTGATTCCTGGTCCTCCCGCATCCTTCCCCAGAAGTTACGGAACACTGTCCCTGTGCTCAGAGCTTCGCTGAAAGTTCAGGCTGATGTGCCCGTAGTGCAAGTACTGGTTCACCCAGCTTACCAGGCGGGCAGAAACCTTCTAACCGGAAACTCGTGTCTCTCGGCTCTGGGAGGCTTGATTCTGCGGTTTCCTCCCTCTCCCTCTCCCTCTCTTCCTTCTAGAAGCCCCATCAGCCAGATGTTGAGACTTGGACTTAATACTCTGATTCTCTTAATTTTCTCTTCAACCTTCAGTTTTGGTTCTACTTTTGAGGAAATTCCCTTGACTTTCTCATCTAACTTTTCTGCTTAATATTTTTGTTTCTGCCTTCATAATTTAATCCTCCAAATGTTTGTTCTCTGAAAGTTTGGTCATTCCCCTCTTACTCATAGATGCAACATCATCTTATTTCCCTGGGAATAATATAATACTTATATAAGAAATGTAATACTTGCATTTGTTTTACGCTTTTGTCTCTGTTCCTTTCATTGTCTGTGTGTCTCAGAGCCTCTTTTGCCTTGTTTCATCCCAGCTGCTGTCTCTCACGTTGGAGGGTTTCCTTGAGTGACAAGGGCAAATTAAGGTGAACTGGAAGAGATTCTGCCATTTTCTTGAGGACATTTTTCCTTTCACCTTTTTTTTTTTTTGGTCTTTCTCCACTGAGGAATTCAAGTCAGGACACTAAGGCAAAAGAAAGAAATTAAAGACATCAGATTGGAAAGGAAGAAATAAAACTTCTGTGGGTGACATGACTTTGTAGGTAGAGAACTCTAAGGAATTCCCCCAAATGAACTATTGAATGAGTTCAGCAAGGTTTCAAAATACAGACACTACATGCAAAACTCAGTCATATTTTATACACAAGCAACAGACAGTCCAAAATGAAAATTTTAAAAATTCTGCTTGTAATGGCGTGAAAAATACAATAAAAGACGTGGGGATAAGTTTAACAAAAGGCGTGCAAGACTTGTACACTGAAAATATGGGTGCCCAGCACAGTTGGGAGGAACTGAAGAGGAGCCGAGTGGAGAGGTATCCACCGTCCCTGGGCTGGAGAACCAGGATCGCTGGGTAGGGGACACTTCTCGCCAAATTAACATGAAGAGTAAACGCAGGGCCTGTGAGAACCCCAGAAGGCTACTCTGCAGGCAGGGGCAAGCTGATTCTAAAATTTACATTAAAATGCGAGT